AAGAGCTGATGAGATTCAACAACAACAAAGAAAATAATCCAGTCAAAAAATGGGCAGAAGAGCTAAAAAGAAACTTATCTGAAGAGGAAATGCAAATGGCCAACAGGCATATGAAAAAAATGTTCAACAGCACTTGTAATCAGGGAAATGCAAATCAAAACTACCATGAGATACCATCTTACACTAGTGAGAATGGCACATATTAAAAAAACTAGCAACAACAAATGTTGGCGAGGATGTAGAGAAAAAGGAACTCTCCTGCATTGTTGGTGGGAGTTCAAACTGGCCCAACCACTGTGGAAAGCTGTGTGGAGATTCTTCAATCTATTTAAGATAGAGCTTCCATAGGATCCAGCAATTCCTCTCCTATATATTTACCCAAAGGACACAGAAACATCAATTCCAAAGTGCAACTGCACTCCTATATTTATAGCAGCACTGTTTACAATAGTTAATCTTTGGAAACAACCCAACTGCCCAAAAATAGATGACTGGATCAAGAAGATGTGGTACATATACACCATGGAATATTACTCAACATTCAAAAAAGATAAACACATGCAATTTACATCAACATGGATGGCGCTGGAAGGGATCATACTCAGCAAAATAAGCCAGAAAGAAAAATAAAAATACCAGATGGTCTCACTCATAGCAGTAATTTGGAAAACTTAAATAAGGGACCAGGAAAATGAATAACTATAAGAAAATGAAAATCAAAATCAACAAAAAATATGAACAAGAGACACTCTATAGGGGTGGGGTGCTGGGAGGGGAGGGATTGGGGTCAAAATAAGGGATTGAAATTGTATGGGGAATATAAAAATAAAATTTATTAAAAAAATGCAACTAGGCCACTACCTCACACCATACACAAACCAACTCCAGTGGATGAAATGCTTGCATGTGAAACCTGGCACTATAGAATATACAGAAGAGAACATAGGCAAACACTCCATGGGCATGACATGATGCTCAGAAATGTCTTTGAGGTTTCTTCTCCAGACACAAAGAGACCAGGGAGAATGTACACAACTGGGGATACAGCTAGAGACAGTCATCAACAGAGACACCCGCTGAATGTGGGAAAATAGTGGCACACCTATGACAGATAGGGGGCTGATACCAAAGATCTACAAAAAGATTACATGACTCAACAAAAACAAACAACCCAGTCCGAAAATGGAAATGCAACTCAAAACCACAATGCTATACCACCTCACTCCAGTGAGAATGCTCCACTTTAAAAAAAAAAAAAAAGAAAAACTGGAAACAACAAATGCTGGAGAAGCAGAGGAGACAAAGGAGCCTCTGACAGTGCTGGTGGGAGCACAAACTGGTCCAGCCACTATGGGCAGATGTGTGGAGGGTCCTCAGAACACTGAAAACAGGTCTACATATGATCCAGCATTCCACTCCTAGGAATCTACCCAAGGACAGAAAAAAACAGGAAACCTGAACTCCTGTGTTTATTGCAGCACTATTTACAGTAGCTATGATATGGAAACAACTCAAGTGCCACAAAACAGATGAATGGATCAAAATGTTGTGGTATAGTTAAACCATGGAATATTACTCTGCAATCAAAAAGACAAATTCATGCCACTTGTGGTGATATGGATGGAGCTGGAAGGGATGATGCTAGCCACAATAAGGCAGTAGAAAGATAAATATCAGATTGGTGTGAGCCAGGCTACACATGCTGTTTGACGGGGTCCATGCAGGGGGGGATTCCTGAAAGGTCGGGAAGCTCCGCAGCCAGCTCCAGCTACTTCCTTTCATTTGTTTATGGCAGTTTTCAAAGTCATGGAAATTTTCTATAAAGCTTTAAAATGAGTAAGTATTGATGTTAATGCTTGTTTTGGTAATGCACACTACAGCAGTTTAAAAAATATACATTCCAACATAATTGATAATGTGACGATTTCCAGTATTTCTTCATGCCCCCTGATTTGTAAATCATATACCATGAGCAATGCTAAAATCTTTAACAAATCATACTTGAAGGAACTTTTGGAACCAAATCTGGTAGAAGTCCTCATAAGAGGAGGCACTGAGGTGCCCCAGAGACAAATTGGCCTGAAAAAAATGCACCACATACTATTCCCACAGTAGGGGGACCCATTGTCCCAGCAAACTAGGAAGCTGCCTTTTGATCTTACAATGCCTGCTTGACCTTTATGTAGTTAACTAGCGTGGCCACATAAGTCATACTCTGTCTAGCTCTTATTTCTAGTTCTGAGAAATTTACTTCACTTAAAGACAAAATGTAATCAGGTTAATCATAGAAGAGGAAATTTGAGTAAAGACTGTGCACTGTTAATAATTTAAAAATAACCTCTAGAGAATGTAAAAATAAAATTGCATGATTGCATGATGTAATGATAAAACAACAAATTTCCAATGCATAAATAAAACTCTGCTGAGGCTATCAGGAGGAGATACTTGTCACTTGATCAAGTGTCAGTGTCGCCTCATTCCCTTATTCCCTCTGACACCTTCCTTACATTCGTGGACCCTGCATTAGCTGGAGTTGGACTCCAGCATCAGATGGTTTCACTTACCTGTGAAATATAGAGAAACAGAACAAAAGGTAAGGAAAAAGGCAACCCTAGCAAGCTGACCAAGAGCTGAGACATCCAGCAGGGAGGAGAAGGGAGGGGGGTGAGCAGAGGGAAGGGAACAACACAAGGTGATGTGTCATGGGTGCTATGGTGGTGGGAGAATTATGGGAACCACCCCTGAGGGGAGAAACCAGTAACTAGACATAAATGAACTACTATGTAAGCAAAGATGAAAAGGGCCTCCTGGTGGTGGAGGCAGCTGAGCGCAGTGCTTTGAAGCTGTCCGCAGCCTCTGCAGTGGCGGTTCGATCCCCACCAGCTGCAGATGCCCACATGGAACAGCAGATCTCTCCTGTCTCCCCTGCTGCTACCCTCAGCAGTGTATTTCAGTCAATCTGTCTATCCAGCTCCCTGCTCTGTCTCTGGTGACTCCTCTCACTCTCCCACACATCTGTCCTGTACCCAAGTTCTTGTATAAATAAATAAATCTTAAAAAAAAAAGAAGAAAAAAAGAGATGGTCTTTAAGGACAGGGAAGACCCTAAGACAATATAAATAAATAAATGCTCCTAAGGGGGGGTCTCATCCTGAACAATGCTGCAGGCACTGCCGAGGCATCCCCTCCTCACCAATTGTTCTAGATCTCCAGGAATTTTCTCTGGTAGGTGCAGCAATTAAGTCTGTTTTGTGGAAATAATTAGAAAAAGGCTATTTTTAACTGCAGTCTCTTGCAAGTAGCAATCACATTTGGGATTAGAGCCATTCTAAAACTATTAAGTCAATCACGTTCAGTATTAATGACAGCATCTTCACACAGTGCAATGAAGCTTGAAAGTTTTGTTCTGTCTTGTTTTAGGCCGAAGCTCCTTCCTTATGGAGGAGGACGCCCAGCACCCTAGGACCTGATCTGAGGATGGGTGGGGGCACCCAGATTCCTTCCCTCCCCCTGGCCTCCAAGAGGGTTACAATTTACCCTCATTTTATTTATTTTTTAAAGATTTATTTATTTATTTATTTCTACAAGCACTGGGTACAGTCAGAAGCACGGGAGGGTGAGAGGATTCACCAGAGCCAGAGCGGGGAACAGAACGTGTAGACCGCCAGAATACACTGCTGAGGGGAGCAGCGGGCAGCAGGAGAGGTCTGCGCGCCTTGCGGGACCCTTGCCCTGAGGCCAGGGATAGAACTGGTGTTGCAGATGCTGCGGGTAGCTTCACAGCCCAGCGCTCAATCGCTGCACAACTGGGGAGGTCCTACCCTCATTTTAAAACCTCTAGTTCAGTACAAAACACAGATTTGGGAATCCAAATATATCTGGCCCTTGATCTAAGTGAAGTTACTGATCCATTTTGGACCTCAGGGTCCACGACTACAGGGTAGGAATAATATCTCTATAGCATCATTAATGGAGATCACATAACTGAAGCAATGAACTTGTTGCTCCAGCAGGTGCTAAATAAATGATGATTCCTTTCTCCTTTCCAGAGAAATTCAACTTCTCTCCAAAGCGAGCATAACAGAGGGATTGGCAAGGAAGGAGGTGACATCAGTTTAACACATTAAAAGGTAAAGTGCAGCCTCCCCCACCCCCCAACAGTGGCCTAGGAGTTAAATCTCAGTGCTGTCACCAAAATGGTCTTAGTTTGATCCTGGCCACGGAGCTACCCACATGGTGCAGCAGACATCTCCTGTCTGGCCTGATGCTCCCCTCAGCAGTGTATCTCGGTAAATCCGCCTGTTCTACTCCCTACTCTGTCTCTGGTGAATCCTCTCACCCTCCCACCCCTATGGCCTGCACCCCAGTTCTTCTATGAAAAAATAAACAAAAACTTTTTTTTTTTAAAGATAAAATGGAGTATCTCCAAATGTCCAGTTCTCACATGAGTCACTGTGGTTTACACAATCCCTGAAATAGGAAGAATCCAATCAGCACCATCTATAGAGAAAAGATCTCAAGAGCTTAGAAAAGGGCCCTTCAGTGTCTCACATACTCCCCATGAAGAAACTTTCCACCCCGATGGGTGATGGTGCCCAGCTGTCACTGCTGTGGGGTTTCTCGGATGCAGAGAGGGCCACTGCTTTCAGGCCCTCGGACCAAGGGGAGCCTGAGCTGCGCGCTCACCTTGCGCGTTCAGGCCTCGCCCCTGCCCCAGGTGGGCTGGGACAGGCAGAGGCACGCGCAGCTCTCCTCAGGCTCCGCCCCTGCCCGGGCCGCAGGGTTCTAACCACGCCCCTTTCCCTTTATCTTTTGCCATCGACCAATGGGATTGGCGGGAACCAGCCACGCCCACTCAGGTCGCCTAGACCCCGCCATGACCCACCCCTGCCGGTTCAGTTGGGTCGCGAGTCTGTGCGAGCAGGATCGCTGCCGGGAGAGTTGAGAGTTGTGGAAGTTTCGCTGTGACCCCCGCCCCCCCACCCCATCCCTGCCCCCGCGATGTCGGGAGAACCCCGACAGAGCAGATTAGCTGAGGCCAAGAGAAAGGTAACCAGGCAGGGTGCAGTTTCCAGGCCCAGCCAGAGGCCGCCTGGGGTGGCCCGAGCCGGCTGCCCCCTGGGCGCCCCCTGGCGCCCAAGTAGGCCCGGCAGCCCCGCCCCCGCCAGCCCCGCCCCCGCCCGTCGCACCGGGGGACTTTGGAGGGTGACCCCCAGGGTTCCCGATGGCTTCCGCTGGAGGATCGGCCCTCTGCTTTTAAAAAATAATAATGATTTATTTTTATTTATACAAGAACTGGGGTGCAGGTCACAGGCGTGGGAGGGTGAGAGGACTCACCAGAGACAGCGGGGAGCAGAACAGGCAGAAGGACCGCAGACACTGCTGAGGGGAGCAGCTGGGAGACAGGAGAATCTGCCGGGCCATGTTGGTAGCTCCCTGGTGGGCCGGAAATCAAACCGGCGCTGCATAGGTTGCGGACAGCTTCACAATGTGGTGCTCAACCCGCTGCGCCACAGGGGGACCTGGCCCTCTCCTTTTGCCACCCAGAATCGGACCCCTTGGGCTCTGGCCTCCAAGGACCTCCTCTCCGCGGCCCCTCCCCCAACACGGAGAACTACCTGGGCGTCGGTGGGGAGGGGTGGAAAGCGGTGATGTCACAGTCGCCTCGGATCCATCCATAGTCACCAGCCCCGTGCTTGATCTGTTGACCCAGCCCCCCAGCGCTCACCCCTTCTCGGGTTCCTCTTGTCGCCCGAGATTACCAACTTGAAGGGGGCACAGGACCATGGAGCTTGACCACAGGAGTGGGTTCAGGCTGCTTGCTCTGTACCGTACCCCACCATTGAACAATGGTAGCCTGCCAAGCCCGCCCTTCCCTAGTGCTCGTGGAACGTTGACAGCCGCTCTGGGGGACACTGGGAAGAACTTTTTAGTTTGGTTTATTGTGGGGTGTCTACTCCGCGGAGACTTTCCAATTTGTCTCGCTTCTCCCTCTCACATTCTCATTCCTCGTGACCCTGGGGCCAGACACCCCCCAGCCAGTGCTCTTGGCAGGGATCTGTGTATCCTCTGTGGCTTAGATCCCAGCACACTGACTTCCCGGCTGGGAATCTTCCCCCAGTCGCCTCAACCTGGGTTGCTCTGAGTGCCCTGGGGTCAGCAGGTGGAGGAAGCAACCATGCTGCTCGGGCCTGAGGACAGGCCTCTGTGGCCATGCACAGATGCACAGGTGTGCGTGATGGTGTCAGACTGCCCGGAAATGTGCTGGCCTGGGCCTCAGCAGGCCCCTCCCTGCCGCCTGCCACAGCATCCGTGGGCGCAGGAGCTTGAGTGATGCTAGCAACAGCTCACATGTGTATGAAAGGGCCTGGCGTCTGAGGACTCACATGCTTGCTGGTCCACCCCTCGCTGTTGTGGCCCCCGACAGCTCCTGAGTCACAGCTTCCCAGAAGTTCGAGTCTGAGGATGGAGTGTAACTGCCTCACCATTTTTTCTTGAAACCATGTTATCCGTCCCTGTCTTCTGTCATGGAGGGTGGGGGAACTCATAGCACCTGGTAGAGTTGCTGGTAGCATAAAGGCAGATGGCAAATCTACCTTGTGAAGTGGGGTGCAAGTCCAGGCGCTTGCAGTTCTCGTGAGCCTCATCTTTTTCCTCTCTGCAGCTGAGGGACTACCAGCAGAGAAACAGCTTGGGGTGTCCTGCAGGAGCCAGGAAGAAAGGGAAGAACAAACGTGTCCGCAGGCCAGAGACACCCGCTTCTGGCAGCTGGAAGTCATCGAAAGATGTAAGTCTGGCCTGGCTGGCTTCCTAGGAGAGGGGTGCTCCGGGGCCGCCGAGTGAATGGTCAAGTGCACGAGAGAACCAGTGAGGAGCCCAGGTCTGAGTGCAGCCTCTGGGCAGCTCTGCTGGGATCTGATTTGGGGCAACACTGTTGAAGCTCTCCCTGCCCCAAAGAGTCAGGGCGCTGCAGTGATCCCGAAATCCAGGTCGCATCCGTGAGAGGATTGTGTGTTCATCCCTTCATGTGGGGCCGGTGCGCAGCTCGCCTTCGGCCCAGGGAGTGGCCAGTGACTTCTCGCTCTGGCAGTTTCCCTCATTCCTGCCCTCTGGGGGATGCAACCAGTGAGAACCCCCTCTCCCGTTCAGGTGGCACAGACGCGCCTGGGTGCCTGGGACCAGGCGGCCTCTGCGGTGGGAGTCTGTTTTTGCAGCCTGCTTACCGGGGGATCCCCACGAAAAGTACGTCCTCCCCGGGACTCGGATGTCTCCCCTGGCAGAGGGGACTGTGGAGCCAGACCAGTGTGCTCCAGGCGGATCTGGACGCGGGGCTCCGTCCCTTGGCTTGCATAGCTTTCTGCTTCAGGCGATGCATTGAGAGGCCGTCAGGAAGGATGCGCAGGCCAGGGTGTGGACCCGTCCTCCTGCCTCCGTTGCCCAAGGTCCAGAGCTGCTCTCTCTCTCCTCTGACCTTCTTGTCCTCTCTGAGGCACTTTTTTCTTCCTCCCCTTGCCCTTGTTTTTCCCTTTTCACCTCCTGAAGCGTCAGGACATTCCGCAGGTGCTGGTGTCCAACCTTAGCCGCTCCAATGGGGTAGCACCCCACCATCCCCAGCCAGGAGGAAGGTGTGGACGCGCTGAGACCCCTCTCTGGCCTACTGTCTCCCTGCCTGTGGGCCACAGCTTGTCTGGCACGGGGTCCTTGGCCTCCGGCTGGCTTTCTGTTGCCATTGTTAGCCTTCGGCGTGTCGGCATCTGCACTTTCACCGGCTTGGCTGATGGCTGGTTTCCTTGCCATGCATCTTCGTCTTCTTGGGAAGGTGCCATGTGCCGTGAAGGGTGAAAGGTCATTCGGAAACAGCTTCCAGAGCAGGGGTGCGAGAGTGGGCCGTCCGGGCCTCCAGCATGAATGCTTGGGGCCGTCCTGCAGGAGAGCGTCCTAACTGCCTGCAAAGGGCTTGCCCTCAGGCTAAGAGAAAGTGGCTTCTGTTCCAGGTGCATGGGTTGAGGCTTGCTTATAGCAGGACTGCAGAGCCACAGAGGTTAGCTAGAGAGGAGCGACTGGGACATTCCGCCCCCGTTGTCTTTTAAAAAACAACTGGACACTCACCCACCCTCCGGGGGCCCTTGGCGGCTGGTGCTTTGCTTGGCCGCGCAGTGGGATGTGGAGCTGCGGGAGCAGTTGGCTGTAAAGGGTGTGGAGGCTAGAGGGTTTCTCTTTTACCAAATCCAGCAAGAGAGAATGGAGTCCAGGGGGCAGCTTCTTCCCCAGAGAAGGGAGGGCTGCCCCACCAGAAATAAAATAATTCTGATGAAATGGGGCAATTGAGGGGAGTGTCTTTTTGAACTCTAAACTTAGTTCCAAGCTCAAAGAATATATTTGGTCACTCACAGACCAGTCATGAACGTGTAAGTTCTAAGGATTGGGCCTTTTTCCCCCTCCTGCATGCTCTTGTGTCTTAACTGTAAAGATCCAGGGAACCCAGGAGGCAGAGGCACCAGAGCCTGCCAAGCCCCGGCCAGTTGTGCCAGCCTCGCCACAGCCCCTGCCCACCGGCTGCCTTGCTCTGGCCTCTTAGGGTACGGTATGGAGGTTGGCATGGCAACACCAGGTTCCAGCCACTGCCCTTGGCCCCTGCCCATGCTGAGCTTCCCACACCGCTGACCCCTGAGTCCATCCCCGGGGCTTTCAGGCTGGGGGAGGAGGACAGGAGGAAGTGGCACAAGAGGGGAGAGAAGTACCTGGCAGCCTTGCCGTCTGCCTCTCACACTGCCATTCTGCCCTGAAGGGCCCAGGGTGCGGGCCAGGTGGCTTTCCAGAACAGTGCCTCGCTTCTCCTGGGCTTGGCACACCTTTCTCCTGCAGTGACGACCCGTGCCACCCCGCCCGGGCTCGGGCTGTCGTCTGGAAGGCCGCAGAGAGCCGTGAGGCCTGGACTCCCTAGGCCACGTGCCACGGTGACTCCCAGCATGGGACCGTCCTCTGGCCGCAGCATCCCCGTGCTCCCTGCCTGCACCCCTGCACTCGGGCAGAGAGGCAGCCCCTTTCCTGCATGGCTTCCCTAACCCCCGCCCTGCTCTGCCCTGTGCCAGGCGCCCTGCGGCTGCGCCCCTCCTGCGGAGACACCGGCTGGCGACCACAACACCGTGTGCCCTGGTGTCCCTCCTCCTGACGCCACCCTCCCTGACGGGAACAGCACGGTGTCCACTCAGGTCTGTGCCCCTTATCCCTGCCTGCACCCCACTGGCTTGCCCGCCCTTCCGGAAGGGCCGCACCTCCCCCATTCTCTCCCATGTCCTCCGTGTCACTCGCTTCCAAGACCGAGGGTCCTTCCTGAGGACTGGGTGGGGAGACCGAGAGCTTGGGGAACCGAAGGTGGTCAGAAAGCGCTAGGCCCATCCCAGCCTGGTGGGCTCTCCCCAAAATGAATGGCCACCCCCTGCATTTCTTCCCACACAGAACTGTGGCGCAGAACATGGCTCTGGTTCCTTGGGTGAGAGCATGTAAGTGTCTCCCATGGGGCAGCAGCCCCTTGTAGAGGGTGTTGGGGCACCTCCTGCTCGTGACCCCCACTCCACTGAGCTTCCTGTGCCCCTGACTCCTCTGTCTGTCTCCAGGCTGTCTCTTCTACCAAAGGCCTGCGGCAACTCTCCTGTCAGCTGAATGGACTTCCAGCAGAGGTGCTCTGGGGATGGGGCCCAGAGCAGTTGGGGGGAGGTTCAATAGGAAGACACTGAGATAAAGGTTCCCAAGGGGGGCGGCGTCCTGGGGCCGGCCCTCACTGCCAGGGGATGTCTAGCTGGCCGTTGCTCCTTTGGAGCGGTCAGATGAAGGGACGGCCCACGAGTCTGTGGTTCCATCCTGCCGCGGAAGCACGGGGTGAGGGTGACAAGGGGGAGCTCAGAACCAGAAGAAGTTGGCACAAAGGGATTATGAGCAGAAGGGAGGCCAGAAAAGGAAAGTTTGCAAGTGGATGGGGAATCCGGGGGCTTAGGTCTTGAGGGGGACAGAGAGCTGCTCCATGGGTGCTCTGCTTCCCTCCTAACCTCCCTCCTGTGTCAACAGGGAGGACCAGGTGTCTGTTGTTAACACAAAGGATCTGGAGGTAAGGGACCCTGAGGCCAGTCCCCCCGCTTCTCCCAGAGTAGGGGCTGGGTGCCCCACTGCCAGGGGAGACTGCCCAGATGCCCCTCCAAACCCTGCGGACTACTCTCTCTCCCTGTCCCCCGCTCCTCCAACCCTCCTCCTCTCTGCATGTGCCTCAGAGCCAGCATCAAGGACTGGCACTAGCCCTGGACTCCAGCAATCTAACAAATAAGCAGCTCACTAGCAAGATAGAGTAACTGGGAAGAGCCTGCTGGGGCCCCTGATTCCCAGCTGCAATCCAGGACTCTGATTTCCTCTTGGGGCCCCGAAGAGAGGGTCCAGGGGTCCTGGAGCCAGGGGAGAACAGGGTGTTGGAGGATCCAGGGCTCAGCTGTAGGGGCCCCGGAGCACAGAGCTGGCAGCATTGCTCTCTTGTGGCTGCCCTCTTTGCCCCTTCTCTGCTCCCCAGACACCCCTGCTTGTGCTCCCCCTTCCTGGGGGAAGTACTGGTTTGGCTGGTGTGTTCCGGCCCTGACTCAGCCCCTCACTTCCTCTGCTTTCACCTTGTACAAGATACTTCTTCGCCCTGGATTTAGTTCCTCCAGGAGGCAGATGTAGAAGGTGTCAAGGTCTCCGGTAGCTCAAACAATCCCAGGTCCGTTTCCTTCCTCTCCCTCTTCCTGTGCACACAACCAGCCTGCAGCTCGTGCCGCCTCAGTCTCTGTTGGGTGAACGGACAGACCCTGCCAGGTCACCCGCTGGCAGAAGGGTCGTCTTCCCTTCTCAGACTCTGCCTGGGGCTTAGGGTGTTGTCCTCCAGGGGAGCCAGGTGCAGACTCTCCCCTCTGTCGCTGCGAGCAGCGCCCCCCAAGACCCAAGGTCTGTCTCCTTGGGAACGTGAGGAGGGTCTGGCAGCTCATGCATGAGAACTTCAAACCCATCGCTGGACCTGCACATGTCCCCCCGCTGGTCTGAGAAGACGGAAAAGGGGGGCACTCAGTTCCCTTCCTTTGACTTTTCCCCACAGAAACAAAAGAACCAGGAATCTTTGGATCAGCTGGAAAAAGTAACATTTACTTGTTCATTCCCTGACGTGGGGGTCTGGGATGGGGCTGATGTGGGGCGTCTGGGCTTGCCTGCTTCCAGCCTGGAGACACGCAGGGCCCCTGGCTCCTCTCCTGCCCCTTCTCCCAACCCCCATGGTCTGGGCTCGCCGGTGGGCCTGCCTGGGCCACTGGTGGCCCGCGGGGCTGTGCCTTGCCGCTGCCTCCTGGAGACCCTTATTCCCTTTGCAGGAGAAGAAAGACCATGAGTGGAAGCTGGTGAGGGAACAAGGTGCGCTCCGGGAGCAGTTACAGGTGAGGGGCAGCCCGGGTTCCCCATCCCCAGAGGAAATGCCTCTTTTCCACCTCATCCCGACTTATTTGCTTTGTTTCCCGAAGAGTCACATCCAGACCATCGGGATTCTGGTGTCTGAGAAGACGGAACTGAGGGCTGCGCTGGCCGATGCTCAGCAGGCAGCCAGGCAGAAAGCAGGTGGGGCTCCAGGCGCCCTTCATCCATGCACCTGGCACGCGGCAGGCCCATGGGGCGGGGGGATGGTTCCTCCTCAGAGCTTGCTCTGACCTGTCTCACAGCAGGCGAGTCGGAGGAACTGGTTGGTCGCCTCCAGTCTGCGTGTCTGCATGTTGGAGAGCTGGAGTGCATGCTCTCTGCTGTCTCCACCCATCGCAGACAGTCTGACCAGGCGAGCCGCCTGCCCAGCTGCCGCCTGCCCAGCCCCTCGTGGGTGCCCCTCCCATCAAGGCGGGGGCGAGCCTCAAGGTCCCTGATGTGGGATGGAGCTCTCTCCGCCCAGAAGGAAGCACAGTCAGCTGCTCAAAGGCTGTGGTCAGCTGCGGCCTGAGGTGGGTGGCCGCTGTGCGCCTCGTCCTTTGCTCCCGAGCTACTAGTGAAGGCAGATGAGAAAGGGGCTCGGAAGTGCTTTGAAAAAAGGTGAAGTGTGACTCCGGGCGAGGAGGGCTGTTCTGTGCTGGTCCCTGTCTAGTAACAAGTCTGCAGGCTGCATCCTTGCCCACAAATCCTGACCTCGCATTTGCCTCTCATGTCTGCAGCACAACAAGGAGCTAATCCAAGAGAGAGATGCTCTCAAGCTGGAGTTATCCGAGAACAAGTAGGCCTGGGGGCGGGTGGGGTGCTGGGGGGCAGGCTTTGGGCCCAGCCATGTGCTGGGCAGTGGGAGGGATGCAAGTGCATGGGGTGAGGAGGGCAGACAGCTCACAACCCCTCCCTGGCCAACCTCTGGCGATGCTGAGCCCTGGGGCCCTGGGTCCTGCCACTGCACTGGGGTCTGTGGCGAGGGTGGGGTAGATCTCCAGGGGGACCCTTTCTGGCTCTGGTTACGCCTCTCCCCTTTGTGTGGCCCTAGAAAAGCCAATGAGGACCTGCAGCAGTGCCACTCCGAGCTGGAGGAGCGGCTCCGGCTCTTGTTGGAGGAGAAGGACACCATGCAGGCGAGACTGGAGGACCTGGAGAAGAAGCTGGAGATGTCTGAACTGCTGTCGAAGCAGGTGAGGGGCTGGAGCAGAACCCCAGGGAATCTGTGCTCCATCCAGGTGGGGCTGGGTCTCTAGGGGTGACTGTGATCTAGCTGAAACCCTTTCGGGGGACATTGCACAGAAGACACTGGGCTCCACACATCACCCCCTCACTTTTTGAAAATTTTTACTTTTGCATATAACTGGGGGGTAGGCAGGGTGAAAGGACTCCCCAGAGACAGCAGGGAGCAGAGCAGGCAGTGAAAACCTATTGCTGAGGGGAGCAGCAAGGAGACAGGAGAGGTCCGCTGCACCCTGTGGGTCGCACCCTGGCCAAGAAACTCAGCCAGTTGCAGGAGAAGCTGGCAGAGCTGCAGGAGACGGTGAGCCCTGCACCAGCTGGGAAGGTCTCGGGGCCTCCGGGAGGGAGGTCCTTAGGCCAGGACAGAGGGAGCCCCAACTCAGAGCGGGGGCCACCAGTGACCTTGTGTCCTGCCGGGTCCATGGCCACCTGTGCCTTAGGCTCTGCCATGGAACGTGTACCCGGGACTGTCGGTCACCTCCCTCCTGGAGGCACGAGCCACTAGTAGAGAGATGAGGAGACATGGAGACATCCTGGATTCCAGCCTTGGCTCCAGGCTCGCTCTTGACTGAACAGTGCTATGCCTCAGCATCAGCATCCTTCCCTTCAGAGGGCCCTCGCAGGCAGTTCTGAGGAGAGTTAAGGAAGGGGCCTGGGCAGGCAGCAAAGTCCCACAGTGCCTGCCTCAGGAAGAGGGGCCCAGCCTGTCCCCCGCATCTGTGCGCGCAGATCTGGGAGGAGCCTCAGTGGCGGGAGCCAGCAGCAGTGATGGTCTCTCACTCTGCCGCTCCACCACAAGGCTGTTGTGGCAGTTGCTCCTCAGAACTGGCCTTTTCTACACGCTTCCTGGGTGATGGAAAGGACTAAAAAGGTGCGGGCTATTAGCTGATGGGTGCCAGACGGTCCAGTCAGCCGCAGGATGAAAAATGGTCCAGGGCCTCCCTGGTGGCCCAGGGGTTAAATGTCGGCACCATCACCACTACTTCCTGAGTTTGATCCCTGGTCGGGAGCCGACCCATGGGGCGCAGCAGACCCCTCCTGCCTTGCCGGCTGCTCCCCTCAGCAGTGGATTTCAGTGAGTCAGCCTGTTCTGCTCACTCTCCACCTCTGGTCAGCACCCTGGTTCTTCTGCACAAAAAAGGAAAAATGGTGGAATCAGACTGATGTCAGGGCACCCTGAAGAGTGATAGAAGCCAGGGTCAGAGGGAGCTCAGGGGCTCTGTTCACACCTCCAATGAAAGAAGGGGAAGACTCTGTTCCTGGCCTCTGAAGAAAGAAGGTCCAGAAGCTGAAAGAAGAAAAGCAGCGTCCAGTAGCCAGCCTGTGCAGGAGGAAGAGAGGATGAAGACCTCTGGCAGAGACTGGGCCTCCAGTCCTGTGTCTCACATCACTTGCATGGGGTGCCCAAGGCTCGGGCCTCATGTCTGAAAGAGCTGCTTGTCGGTGTTGTCCAGCAACTCACCAATGGCTTTTAACGATTGGCGTCTCTGACACCGGCTGGGATCCCAACTGAAAAGGGGAGTCACAGGGCATGAGGATGGGATGCTAAGACAGGGCGCAGTGGCCACCCACCTGCCCCAGCTCGAAGACAACAGAACCGCCAAAAAGCCCCAGCACCAAATCCAAGGGCCGTAGCAACACAGTCCCCATCAATAGGGGCCTACAGGCTAGAGCCAAGGGAAGGATAGTGCCCAGTAGGGGACTCATCACTGTGCTTCTCAGACATGTGAACAATTGCAAGAGACTTCAGCATCTGGGAACAACCACCTTGGGGTTCATTTTACAAATGGGCAACAGCTTACTGTGGCCACAAGTGGTGTCTGGCACACCCAGGTAGTGTCCACCAGAAGTACCAGCAGATTTCCAGTCACCCGTCACCAGGAGTGCTGGGCAGCACTGGCCAGTAGTGATGGTCACTACCGGTACCCCTGTGATAGTGTCTAGCTGAGGCAGCTGGGTTCCGGTGACAATTTGGAGACCGACCAAAACCTGCCCTCACCCTCCCCTCCCCACGTCTCCCCTGCAGGTGGAGGAGAAACATCAAGAGGTTCAGGAGCTGCAGCAGCAGCAGGACCAGTACTTTGGTCACCTTCACCAGTACATGACTGCCTACCAGCAGCACGTGGTCGCCTACCAGCAGCTGGCCAACGAGAGGGATGTCCTGCAGAAGCAGGTGCTGCTTAACACCCAGCTTGTCCACCAGATGCAGCACGAACAAGAGCAGAAGAAGATGGAGGTGGAGTTGGCCCGCCAAGAGCTTCAGGAAACACAGGTGGGGCAGTTAGAGTGCCAGACCCCCAGGGGGCCGCCCTAGAAGGAAGCCCTTTAAGTGGCATCCCTCCTCCCGCTTTTCTGACCCCTTAGGGCCGCCTAGAGGCTGCCAGCAATCAGAACGAGCAGCTGAAGGCCCAGCTGAAGCTCATGGCTCAAACTGGAGCAAGTGAGTGGGACTTCAGCAGAGGGCAGTTTTGCAAGAGAGAGAAGCCACCCCTCGGACAACTTGGATCCTTCTCCTTTGGGGACTTGCTGGCGCGGGGTTGCAGAGAGAGGAGGGGACAGAACTTGCTGGCTTTCAGGGCTGCTTCAGAACCCAGGGGTTTTCTGAGCCCCTCTGGCTGCCCCCCAACAGTAAATGGACTGAGCGGTGAGAAGGAGAAGAAGAGGCGGACAAGAGTCCCCTGCTGAAGCTCAGCATCCTGGACGACCTGGACAGCCGCGAGGCCGTGGTGAGCTGGGCCTGCAGGCCCCTTCCCTGCCCCACCTTCTCCCTCCTTCCCGCACACCTTCTTCCTGGTTTCCCTCCCTTTGGTTACACTTTCCCCCCACCTCTGCTGGGGACCATCGGGCAGGCACCAACACCAGCCTCGGCTCTCAGGTGTGCCCATGAGGCCCCGAGAGGTGTGCCTCCTTGGCCCCTGCCTGGCCCACAGGGGCACCCTGCACCTCTGGCCCACAGGTGGCATTTTTTAACAAGGACTTGGCAGGTGTTGAGGAAGAGTGGGCACGGCTACGCGGGCAGCTAAAGGGGCAAAAGCAGCTCTGCTGGCGCCTGGCTCAGCAGGCGGCCGCATCAGATGAGGAGCCCGAGAAGATGGAGGCCCCAGCCCCCAGGACGGGGGGGGGAACGTGTTTCTGGGGAGACCCACCAGGCCCTTCAGGGAGCCATGGACAAACTGCAGGTGAGTGTGGTTCTCCAGAGGGCTGGGCGGGCCGGGTGCTGGGCGGGCCAGCACCCTGAGCCCACTGTCTGGCCGCAGGGGCTCCTGCAGAAGAAAGCAGCCTTAAAGGAGCGGGTGGAGGAGCTGGAGCTTCGATGCATCCAGCTTTCTCGAGAGAAAGATACCATCGGTGAGCGGGGAGGCCGGAGCCCTGGGGCCAGGGCCAAGGCTGGCGAGACCCCAGCAGCTGAGCGGCCCGCGCGCCCTCCCTCTAGGAGAATACATCATTCTCTACACGCACCAGATAGCACTGATGAGGGCGGAGCTCCGCGAGAAGCAGCAGCACATCAGCCAGCTGGCCCAGGACAAAGAGGAGATGAAGGTAGTCAGAGCTCTGGCTCCTGGGTGGTGCGGCTAGGGATGGGGCTGGCTTCCAAGCGTCTCTCCTTCTAGGTGAAGCTGTCGAATATGCGAAAGCTGCTATTCCGGGTGGCAGTGGAGCGCAGCGAATGGCGGGCGAAGTTCCAAGCAGCCAACCAGAACCCTGCTGCTGAGCCCACCGGCGCACAACCAGCCCCCAAGGAGCCTGGTGATGCCAAGGGCCAAGGTGAGGAAAGCACCCCACGGGCAGCTGGGCAGGAAGAGCACCCTCCGCCCGGCACTCAGTGCCCTGTTTCTGTCTCTCCAAAGAACCGAGTGAGGTGCGCCTCGCCGCCGCCTTGCGGCCAACCCAGGGATAGGCTCAGCTGGGCCAGACACCCCTGGAGATACAGAGCCCCCAGGAACACGTCACCACCGAAAACAGCCTGCTTTTCCCATTCTTCTACTGGGCTGACAACATCGAGGTGGTGAAAATAATGGTGGTGTAGGCCACCAGCATGGGGCCGGGGGCTCTGCCCCCACCTGGCCTTCACCAACCCATCCCCATTCCCCGGAATTTTCCACCCTGTCCTTTGGCTCCCAGTCCTGGTCGTCTTCCTATCCCCAGGCTGACAAAAGAGGGATAATAACTCCCCCATTCAATGGGGGAAACGGGTGCAGACCCCAGCATCTTAGGGAAAGGTGCCTCCCCGACCATGTGGAGCAGGGCTGCACTTCGAAGGCCCTGCACACCTGTCTAGACTAGCCAGAGAGAGCCACAAAGGGGTGACCACCCCTGCCCCCCTCACAAAGGACCCACGGGCATGAGGCCACCCCAATCTGCAAAGGGGTGGCATTCCCTGTCCCCACTCACTGCAAGGGTGTGGACTCCCCCGTCGCCCACTCACAAAAGCCCCGTGGGCGTAAGGCCACCCCAATCTACAAAGGGGTGGCCTCCCCCATCCCCCCTCACAAAAGTCCCATGGGCATGAGGCCACCCCAATCCACAAAGGGGTGGCCTCACCTGTCTCCCCCTCATAAAGTCCCGCAGGCATGAGGCCACCCCAATCCGCAAAGGGGCGGCCTCCCCCATCCCACTCTCACAAAACTCCTGCGGGTATGAGGCCACCCCAATCCGTAAAGGGGTGGCTTGCCCTGTCCCCCCCCCTCACAAAAGTCCCGTGGGCATGACGCCACCCCAGTCTGAAAAGGGGTGGCCTCCCTTGTCCCCCCCACAAAAGTCCCACGGGCATGAGGCCACCACAATCCTCAAAGGGGTGGCCTCCCCTGTCCCCCTTCAGAAAAGACCCATGGGCATGAGGCCACCCCATTCCGCAAAGGGGTGGCCTCCCCTATCCCCCCTCACAGAAGTCCCAAGGGCATGAGGCCACCCCAATCCACAAAGGGGTGGCCTCCCTCATCCCCCCTCACAAAAGACCCACGGGCATGAGGCCACCCCAATCTGCAACAGAGTGGCCTCCCTTGTCCCCCCTCACAAAAGTCCCGCGGGCATGAGGCCACCCCAATCTGCAAATGGGTGGCCTCCCCCGTCCCCCCCACCAAAGTCCCACGGGCATGAGGCCACCCCAATCCATAAAGGAGTGGCCTCCCCCATCCCCCCCCTCACAAAAGTTCCGCGGGCTTAAGGCCACCCAAATCCGCAAAGTAGTGGCCTCCGCCATCCCCCCTGACAAAAGACCCGTGGGCATGAGGCCACCCCAATCCGCAAAGGGGTGGCCTCCACTTGCAGTCTTTAAAAAGTCCCGTGAGCCTCTGTGCCTACATATCTTGGAGGCCACCCCAGATCTGCAGAGGGGTGGCCTTTGGTGCTGCTTTTACATAAAGTCCCCATAGAGGGGATGTGTGGCTTATTTGGGCAATTTGGGGGTACACACGTACTCCCCTAGCCATGTGGACAACTGGGCTTGGCTCAGAGGCCGGACCGTGGTGGCTGGTAGAGGCCAGGCGGAGGGCGCAGGGGTGCCCCGTCATGTGCACGCTGTCCTCGGACACCCCGGGAGAGGAGGCATCTATGAATTATTTGACATGGAGGAAACTTATTTGTTGCTTGCCTGCGCCAGATGGAGGAGGCCAGGACAGGTTGTGTTCCCGGCTGTTGCACTTTTATTTCTGAATAAACCTAATTCACTGCGTGACAGACTCATCTGTCTTGGCGGCGGTCCTGGGACCTGGGGTGGGGCGCCATGCGGGGGTGGGTCTTGCGGGAAGAGGGCAGGCTTCGGGGTGGCGAGGTGCACCCCACGCTGTGTCGGCATGTCCAGCCCTGCTCAGCTCTCTGGCCTGCTGGGCCTGTGGGCCGTGCACCTCCCGGGAGGGCCAGGGTCCTGCTCGGATGATAAGGCTGGGAAACCTGGTCGAGTCCTGTGGAAGGAAAGCAGGGTGCCAGCACCCCAGGAACTGGCCTCCAGCCTGGGCATCTCTGCTCTCCCCCTGCTCCTCTGGGGTGCCGAGTCAGACACTGCGCGGCCTCCAGGCTGGCACCTACCCCCGGTGGCCACAGCAGGGCTCCAAAGATGACCAGTGAATGTCCAGGTGCTTTCCAGGGCAGCCTGGGAAAGACGGGGGCCTTCCGGGCACCCCTGCACACCCCGCCCATGCTTAAACCCTCCCTTCCCCCTGAAACCCCGGGGCACATCCGCCTGCAGCCCGTAGCTCCCACCGGTCAGAAATGGGCTTTGCTCGCAGTGAGAGGCCTCAGGACGCGGCGCTGGAACCACACAGCTGCTGGCAAAGCGCCCTCTCGGGGCAGGGCAGGGGATGCTGAGGGTGACTGTGCCAGGCGGGAGTACGGGGGCTGCCAGGGCACAGGGGTTGGCGGGGGTGGGCGGGGTGCAGCATTTCCCTGCAGCTGGGCCAGGGGCTCCTGCGGGTCAGCTCGGGGTTCCCAGCACCAGAGATGCGTGTAAGTGTGCATGTGTACGCGCATGCACACGTGCGTGTGTGCACATGTTTGTGTGTGCATGTGTGTGCATTGAATGCACACATGTGTATTTACAGATGTCTATAGGACAGGGCAGGCACGATCCCACAGGGGGCACCAGGGTCAAAGAGGCCCACCGGGCTGTGTCACCACAACACACTAAAGCCCCAGGCGAAGCGGGGCTGGGGAGCCCCACCACGGAACAGCCCCCCGCAGGCTCGGGGAGGGAGGTGCGCGGCTGAGTGGGGTCTAGTTAGAGGTCGAGGGGGACTTGGGGCTCAGGACAGGTGACTCGCCCGCCACTGGGCTGGCAGCTGGAGAGGGCCATAGAGGATAGGTGAAGGACAGGGGCAGAGCTGGCAAGGCAGTGCAGCCTGGGATGCAGCGCAGGAGGGGGTGGGGAAGAAGACATGCAAGGGGCGGGCAGGGGTTCTGGATGAGAGAAGACTGGGGAAGAGGGGCTGAAGGAGGAGCAGGAGCTGGAGCCTCTCCCTGCAGCTAGTGCCCCCCACACACACCAGAGGGTGCCCCACACTCGAGACGTGCCTTGGCCAGCGGCTTCCCTCCCCTGCTCCCCTGTCTTTCAAGCTGCAGGCCCAGGGCCACCATCAGCCTTGGGAGTAGGGGCTGCCAGCACCACGCCACACCACCATCTCGGATGGGGAAAGGCAGGCGGGAGAACACGGTTTGCACCAGGAGGGCAGAGTGGAGAGGATGGCAGGAGGGAGCCTGGGGGCCCCCTGGGGTAGGCAAAAAGCCCAGGAGTGCTACGGAGGGACCCAAGGGAGGCAGGGAGGGCAGGAAGCCGGATGCCAGTGGCCACAGGCTCCTCAGTCTGAGAGGGGAGGCTCCGCTGCCTGGGGGCTGCAGGTCACTTAGGTGAGGCTGGGCCCTTCCTGCTGCGGAAAGGCAGAAGAGCAAGCACCAATGTGGGGGTGCAGGTGCAGGCAGGTCCGTGGGGTATGTGTTATTGCCCGGCTGAGGCAGAACTCAGAGAGGCCAAATTGCCTGGGTCAGCAGACACTGAGGCCCCCTGCCTACAAAGGGGAAGTGACCCTAAGGAGCCACAGGCCCAGGTCCACAGCCTGCAGATGGGCCACAGTGCTTCCCCTGGGGCACAAGGGCTGCCTTGGCCCTGCACTGGTGGGCACAGCCACACCTGGCATGGATCCAGTTGTCACCCTACAAGCCTAAGACTTTGGAAAACACTAAGTTTAGTTAGAGCAATTACAAAAGAGCCACAAACCTTGTGTACCACTTTAGGGTTGATCTGTTCAAGCCTTCCTATTAGAAGTCAGTCCTGGGGTGCCCTGGACAGCAGCTCAAAGAGCAAATTCAATATCAAAGTACAGAAGACCCCTCCCCACACTCAGGAGAAATGGCAACAACATAGGGAAGAAAAACCCAGTAGAGTTGTATGAGGCACTGTACCGGTGCTCTGACCACAGCCGCCCCTGAATGTCTTCTAGCAGCTGTGCAGTCAGCATTAGTCCATCAATTGGAAAAAATCAGAGTGAGTCAAGAATAGGTCTCTCTTCCTCTGACAAAGCTCAGCAAAGTACCATGAGGGTAAAAGAGTACCCCGATTTTTAGATGATCTGAACAGACTAATTTGTTACAGGAAGCCATAGAAAGCAGTTTTAGAATGCCATCATTTTATTTATTTATTTTTAACATTGTATTTATTTATGCATACAACTGGGGTACAAGCCAGAGGTGCAGGGTGTGTGTGTGTATGTGCATATGTGTGTGTGTGTGAGAGAGAGAGTATTCACCAGAGACAGAGTGGGGGACAGAACAGGCAGACTGAACTGAAATCCACTGCAGAGGGGAGCAGCGGGTGAGACAGAAGAGGTCTGCTGCACATTTGGGTAACTCCCTGGTGGGCTGGGGCATTGAAGTCTTGCTGCAGAGGCTGCCAACAGCTTTACAGCGCTGTGCTTAACTCCCTGCACCACCAGGAAGTATCAATACCTTGATTGTTATATAAAAAAAAGACTAAAATTTGGTGTTACATAGGTACACTACTGATATTTAAGTCAATTAAAATATTTTCCCCTAAGTCACTTGAGCACACAAAATTTCTTTTTCTAAAATTTGTCATTCAGACCTTTGACCATTTCTTTTGATTTCTTATTGGTAAAAACTTTTGCTTTCTCATTGGTTAACACTTTTGCTTTCTTAATATTTCTTTTTCTCCCTCTCTCAGACCTTTAACACTTGCTTTAAAACTTTTTACTTTACCTTTTACTTTACCTTTAAAATATATATTGTTGGGCCTCCCCGGTGGCGCAGTGGTTGAGCACTGGGTTGCGAAGCTGCCCGCGGCCTCTGCAGCACCGGTTTGATCCCCAGCTGTACTTCAGTCCTTCTGCCTGCCCTGCTCCCTGCTCTGGCTCTGGTAAATTCTCTCACCCTCCCGTGCTTCTGACTGAACCC